AGGCAGGAAATTGGAACACTAGTACTGAGTTCTGAAATTGAAACCCTTTATAAACATGTCTCATCTTAACTAGCAAAGATTGGATAAAATCCTTTTCTGTCTCCACAGAGCCCATTCTGCTCTTGGATATATACAGTGGGTGCTCAATAAATGTTCACTGAGCAGACCAGTACCCTCTGTGTGGCTGGCGTTGTACTGGGCACCAATGTTGAATAGACTGTGGGAGAGGAGCACATCCCCTGCACACCAATAATGCTGCTCTGAGTAGTGCACCCCCACTTCCAGCACTCCCTCTCTCACACTAGAGCAGGGTCCTCCAAAAGACTTGAGCCTTTTACCCTTGGCCATGTTGATCGCTGTGGAGTTGATTGCCACTCGCGGCAAGCCCGGATGTGCCAACTAGAACGTTCCAACGTGTTTTCAGGACTAAGCTCTCTGGAGCAGATTGTCCAGTGTGTCTCCTCTGGTACCTCTTTCAACCCTCTGCTAGCAGTCAGTTACTTAACCATTTGCACCACACAGAGACTCCTTTGGATCAGTTTCCAAACCAACACCAACCCAACCCAACCCAACCCAACCCGTCGCCATCCAATGGATTCCAACTCAGCTGACCTATAGGACAGAGTAGAACTGCACCCATAGCGTTTCGGCTGTCACATCTTTCTCTCCCTGGTGGCTGTGGGTTTCACCCTTCAGTTAGCAACCAAGCATCTAATCACTATGCTCACAGGGCTCCTTTGGATTTGTTTAAAACTAAAACCAAACTTACAACCATTGCATTGATATTACTCATAGCAACCCTATAGCACAGGGTAGAACTGCCCCTGTGGGTTTCTGAGACGAACTCTTCAGGAGAGTAGAAAGCTCATCTTTTTCCCATAGAGCTCCTAATGGTTTCAACTGCTAACTTTGTGGTTAGCAACCCAACCGCTAAGCCATCAGGGCACCTGTTTGGAGCCCCTTATTTTGGAAGAGCTAATTTATACTAGCTGAAAATCCAAGTAGCTACAGAGATCTGGCCAGAGTGGTTTCTAGATTTAAGGTGGAGTCCTCATGGCAGAGAAGGAACCCTGGTGGAGCAGTGGGTTAAGCATTGGCTGCTAACTGAAAGGTTAATGATTCAAACCCACCAGCTGCTGTAGGAGAAAGATGAGGTTATTGGCTCCTATAAAGATTTACAGCCTCAAATTCAAAGGAACAGTTTTACTCTATCCAACAGGGTGCCTATGGTTCAGAATCAACTCAACAACAGTGGGTACAAATGACACAGACTCTGTCTATTGTGCCTTCCTTAAACTGCTCAATTTTCTTGCTGGGTCAGTGTTGACTGGTTGCCATGCTGACCTTGAAAGGGAGGGAAGGAATTTGATTGCAGAGAAATCAGTGAAGAGTGTGGTCCATCCATCCAGGTTAGGAGAGATAGTGGTGCCTTAACTGGTGGGATGTTAGTGTCAATGGGGAAAGGTGGGTGTGAAATGGAAGACCACATTTAGGAAGCTGAGGATGGTGCTAATTCTCAGACAAATGGAATGTCTTCAACATATAGGGTGTATGTTAGTCTGGGTAGACTAGAGAAACAAATTCATAGACACTCATATGTGTATAAAAAGTGCTTTATATCATTAACTTCTTGTTGTTTTGTTTTATTTTGTTGCTTGGTTTTGCTCTGTCTTGTTTTTGTGCATATTATTATCTCCGCAGGTTTGTCTAAATAAGATAGGCGGGATGAACAATCTGGAGGAGAAAACAAAGGGACTGACAGTTCTGGGGGGACATGGGAGAGGGGGAGGTGGGGGGAAAGGAAGTGGTGTTAACAAACCCAGGGATAAGGGAACAACAAGTGATCCAAATTGGTGGTGAGGAAGGTATAGGAGGCCTGGTGGGGCGTGACCAAGGGTAATGTGACCGAGAGGAATTACTGAAATTCAAATGAAGGCTGAACATGATAGTGGGACAAGAGGAAAGTAAA